CTTAAAAAATGTAACACTGTTGTTTAAAGATGTTATTTGATTATAATTTTTAAAACGATTTTAATAAAGTATTTACTTTAAAGATTACCGAAATTTTTAAAAATTCATAAAACTGAGTTTCTAGAAAACGAGATTTCAATTTAATCATACAACATTCTTGTGGCTTTCGTAAAGTTTTTAAAGTATCAAATATTATACTGTAGATCTCTTATATGTTGCACCTCAGGCGTGAAATTGTCCAATTTATAAAACAGGTACCTACTTTTTTGTTCATTTTACGAAACGAACCAGTGACGTGTAACATTCCTGAACAGGCTGATTCACATATAAACCGTTATTTTATATATGTTTGATGTCTCATGAAATAGGCGAACTTTAATCTTTCGTAAGCTCTCGAGTTATTTTTTTACTTACGAATCCCGTTTAACAAGTAGTTTATTTTGTTTAAATAAAATTAAGAAGGAAAAATCTGTACTAAACATTAAAATTTCGGCTATTATGACGAATATTACATGAAAAGAAGAAAAAAAGTTATATTAGTAAGTTTAACATAATTATTCATTATTTTCACACGTTCCCTTGACGTGACGTTTTATACTAGTTATAATACACAACATAACAGAGACCAATTTTTTTCCAAATCTACATATYATAAAACAACATTACACAAACTACGTTTTAAACATTTGTTAATGTATACGGTGTATATACCTACTGCACCGTAAAGTTTATTTGTTGTTCCTCGTATGCTATAATAATATAATTTAATAAACATACAATACATAAAATGTATCGTTATTTTTTCTAACTTATTTGAGATTTGATTTTATTGAAATAATTATATTATCGTTTAGTATTGTATTTATAATCGTACTGCGATCATACATACTGAAATCAGGTAAAAAAACACGACTGTTTTTGAAATTATAGCCCGCCCGATCACAGTTATAATCTCGTATACGACTTCGCCGACGTATGATATATAATACGTATATATATATATATATAATATTCCATATTATCCCTTGTTTTTTTTTCTTAACCGTTGTCTATTTGAAACAATAATAATAATACACAACTGTTAAATAGGTTGTAGAGTAGTTTATAGTATCGGGTTCTAAAACTAATAAGCTGTAGTGAACTTATGGCTCGACTGCAATAATTATCGATATACGAGTAATATATCGATGAATATAAATAACTTAAGTTCACAGAATAAAAATTATTATATTCTGCGTGCAATTTTTTAGCTACAGTTTTTTGTGTAATTCAAGAATGATAATTTATGATAATTAAACTGTGCTTGCCACTTACTCGTTCCATGAAATGAGCAAAACATAATGACTTTATCAGTTATCACGAACAAGAAAATTATTGGGGAGCTGGGATGTAATGCACTGTATAATAGTGTAGTAACAAACTGCAGACATAATAATACTAATAAAACTATTACGTTATTTTATTGTAATAAATATATATTATTTGAAATTAGATAGTTATCTTTCAAAAAAAAGTTATAGACCATCGACAACCTTTAAAAAGTTGTTTGATACATTTTTTTTACGTTTAGTAAAGTAATTGTTTTTAGAAAGTATAAGGAATAGAAAACATTCAAAACAAATTTTACTGCTGATGACTAATTATTAATTACTTTATTTTATTGATATTCGTATTCATTTACTATAAAGAAGTCCAACATGCAATAAGTCAGTAAAAATATTTTTATTTTGGCTATTAATAATAGACATTAAAATTTTTTTTTGCGTTTGTTTTGATTTACGTTGACGATGAAATATTTTAAAATTKAATTCCAAAAATTGCATACCAAATCGCAAAACTTTTTTATCCTCAGTAAAAAATGATGATCATTCTAATTTTGATTAAATTTCCGACTGGATAATTGATGATATTTGTTAACTGAATGGCAGTAAGTTGATAATAGAACTGATGAGTACAGTTAATATTTATACCGTTATATAGGGTAGAAAATCAATAAATATCAATTGTTTTCTGCTTTTTGTACTTGTTATTATAAAAATGATTGAGTGTCGATTAGCTATTTATGTAATATTGTATCTATATATTACATAATGTTGAAAGTTTTACTTCAATCTTTTATTCAACATTATCGATTATTCTTGTCAGATTTCTTGTTTACTTATTACTGCAGTTCTCTGTGGTTATAAACAGTGATTATACGTATTGAGACGTAATGAAAAGCATTTATTTATGTATAGTTATTAGATACARTTGTAGTGTTAAGATAATAATATAAGATTTGGTTTCCTACATGATTTTGTGCTACCTAGTTTATTTTTGTAAGCTCCCGTATACTTATAGGTATAATATTATTAAAATAAGTAAATTCTCATTTTAAAATAATTACTTTTACTAAGGTTCCGTCTCAGCGTAAAATTACTTCTAGTAATATTCTATTTTTAAAATATGTATGTATACTATAAGTTAAAACTAATAAATAAATATTTCGTCTAACGTTAAAAATAAACGTTTTTTTATACATTGGTTGAAAAAATTAAACACCTACTTTTTCTGCAACTGTGGTTATATAATAATCCCGATGATAGCCGGGATCATACCGCTGTGTTGTGAACTTTTGGCTTACGTATATTATATACGGAATTCAGAATCATAGAATGTATATAGACCCACTGTAGTACCTAAATGTACGTCCTATATGCATCCGTGTTAATGTTGTATAATTGTTGACATTTAATAAAATGACGTTGTAAAGTAGTTTTTGTCTCGATTTTTTTCCTGACCGTAATAATATTATAACATAGGACAGCATCATTGGTGTGAGAAAAAATATAGTCATTAACGATTTCCATTAAAGTGTGAATAACGGTTGGGCGTTCTTCTAAAGTATATTATAATAACTTCCTCTTACCACTGCTACAGCAGTGCTGTATTATTTATATATTATAATTCGCTTGTACGAGATTTAACAAAAAAATAATCTAAAATAATCTGGCAACGGTTCGAAATGACGCTTGACACTTCGCTTCGCACGCCTTCGGTATGTCGTTTGGATATATATATATACCAGTAAAACGTCACGAGTCTACGTGTGGAACCAAATGTGTGCCGTTGATATTTTGAACTGTGCTGCAGGTCCGTGGTATATCTACGAGACAACGCCGAGCGTGTTCCGTCTTGACTGTTTAAATCTCGGCTAGTAAGTGCTAAGACAACGGGATTTATATGCTTTGAAGTTTATTTAACRGAAAATAATGATATTCAATTTTTCCTTCTAAAGTTTGAAGTACGTACCTACTTATTTTAAGCGCGAAAATATTTATAAAGATCATTAAAATTTAGTGAGAAATCGATGCGGCTGCGTGCAGTTAAACGGATCACCTTGTATATATTTCTAACATCTGTAGTGGGGAAACGGGACGAGATAAAAAAAAAATTATAAAAAAAATAAGCAATAATACATTCGGCCGGCTGCTGGCTGTGGCTGGCACGAATTTTGTCGCAACGCGGTGGAACAGTAATCGGCACGAGCTGTACGATAACACACTGGTCGCGAACGGGGCGTAACCACGATTGGTCGTAAGTCGTATTAGTCGTAAACGACTTCGTAAAAACGTTGGCGTTAATTTCGTACCATAGTTTCCACGGCAACAATGCGGTAAGACTACGCCGTGACGCGTATGGACAGCGACTGATATTCACGTTTATACGCGATATTCTATGCATTATATTATTTWATAAATTTTATGAACAATGAAATCTCTGAACACTGGACACTCTTGGTAGCTGAAATGGTATCCGCTATATTCATAAGGTTTAATTTCCAAAACATTTTTTAGTTTTATCAACATCTGTTCACAAAATAATGTATTTACGCTATTTAGAGGCGAGTGTTAGGACCGCCTTAGTGAAGATTTCACTGTATTATACAATTTATTTTACTTGTTTGTATGGTATGCACGCAAGACTACAATAATTAAATTATTTTAAAGTTAGTAARTGATGTGCGACGTGAAACTCAAGTACATCACAGAGATCGTGAATATCTATATTGTATCGGTAAAGTATATTATATAGTATTAATAACCGTGTTTTAAATTTTTTTMCACATGACATTCGTTTTGAGCTGCAGCATTTTAATGCAGTAAGAGCTTTTTAACATTTTTTCTTAGCCCGATATTTTGCACGTACCTATTTACTCTTTGT